AACTTTTTTATTTATCAATGGATTTTTAAAATTAAAAAACCACAGTTCTTAGAATTTACTCTAGTTTCATTTAAGCCCATTTTTAAGCAATTCGGATGAAAATTTAATTTTTCATTGTCATTGCTACATTTGCGCGCGTGCACACTCACACACATGGGCGCTCTCTCTGTTAGCTCGGTTGGTTTCACGTTGGACTACGGAGCGGATGATGCTAGTTCGAATCCCAGACTTCTCGTCCTTGAACTCGGTCGTATTGTGGCGTTTTGAAGGCTGTCAACTCGTTTAGCTCTGTCTTATTGGAGATGTACGTAAAACTCTTAAATAACCTAATTGTTGTGTTACTACGAGCGTGAAATCCAAACACTCGCACTCATATACGCACCCTCACACGCACACAACATAGAGAGAGAGAGATAGAGGGAGAGAGAGACAGACAGACAGACAGGCAGACAGACAGACAGACAGACAACCAGACAGACAGACAGACAGACAGACAGACAGACAGACTGACAGAGACAGACAGACAGAGAGAAAGGGATTGTTGGGTTAGACACTCTTTTCTTTACCTATCCTATATTTGTATGTCTTTTCCTACTTCTTCTTCTTCTTCTCCTTCTCCTTCTCTCTCCCTCTCTTTCTCTTTCTCTCCCTCTCTCCCTCCCTTTCTCTCTCTTTCCCTCTCTCCCTCTCTCTCTCCCCCTCTCTCTCACACGCACTCTCTCTCTCACACGCACTCTCTCTGTTATCCTTCACTCAGCACCTTCCCTACTTTCGTTTGACAAAGTACACTGGGTCTATAGCTTCAACATACTCCAGATACCAAGTTGTTCGTTGAGTCCATCTGGATATATCCACAAGGGAACTTTTATTGAGCGACTGTGTTTCCCAGAACATGAGAAGGCGTCTTCCGGTGGCTTCAAAGGCTTGAGGTCAAGTGGGTCAAGAGGGGGAGTATGACGTCATACAATGCACGCTTAGCGAGAGAACATGTCCCAATTTAATGGATTTTGTAGACTTGTTAGTCGTTTAAACCGGTAGCTGACCGGCGTCTGTGCTGTAATGGTTGGGCTCTTCGCATTTGCGTATAAAATAAAAGACGTTATTCCGAGTCCCTCGGTGTGAAGTTTATTTTTTCGAGCAGCCCCGTATGTCTGCTGTCGTAATATTATACATGTATAATCTCTGTCAGCACGGATTGACACTGACAAGCAAATTAGAGGAGCACTCCCCGTTTGTAGCGATCTAAATCGTGTTAATTGTTGATCCGTAAAATATAAATACATGTAACAATTTGTAATAATTTTGCAGGTGGTTTGAGAGAGCCGTTGTTTCGTCATTCCTTTATAACCACCACCCCCCCTCTCTCTCTCCCTCTCTCTCTCGCTTCCTT